CAGGCTGGCCTCGAACTCACAGAGATCCGCCTGCCTCCCGAGTGCTGGAATTAAAGGCGTGCACCACCAACGCCCAGCTTAGTTTGCATATTCTTAACATTTTGTGCTTGTATATTACAGGTTTTAATGCAATCTTAAAGTGTTTTCATTATAGTTTTTTTGTGTGGATTTCTCATTTGTTAGCTATGAGGAATACATTTTTACTACTTTTCTGGTCTTTTAGGAATTTCACAAAGATTAGTGAAGAAGTGAAAGAGGTAGATGAAGAGCGTGAGAAAGTGAAATGCGCCCTCTGGTAACTGAGTGTGGTAACGCACACCTGTGATCCTGACACTCACTAGGCTGAAGCATTTCAAGTTCAAGGTTAGCCTGGGCTACTACTATCTTAGGGTTTCTGCTGCTGTGAAGAAATACCATGACCACGGCAACTCTATAAAGGAGAGCATTTAACTGGGGCTGGCTTATGGTTCAGAGGTTCATTGTCATCATGACAGGAAGCATGGTGGTGTGCAGGCAGACATGGTGCTGGAGAAGGAGCCAAGAGTTCTACGTCTGGATCAGTAGGCAGGCTGCAGGAAGAGAGAATGACACTGGGCCTGACTTGAGCTTCTGAAATCTCAAAGCCCACCCCCAGTGACACACAGCCTCCAACTAGGCCACACCTGCTAAGAATGCCATTCCCTATGAGTCTATGGGGGCCATTTTTATTCAAATCACCACAGCTACATAGTAAAACTCTGTCTCTGATAATACTAAACAAACTAACAAAACATTTGGAAGATAAAGATGAGTAAACTATTAAGTGGAAGATTAAAGTAAATAAATATGTTTCAGCTTAGTGTGGCTGATTAAAATGAGACTTATTAAGAATATGGTAGACTAAATTGGGTGATAGCCCAGTTGGAATTTTGATACAGGGTCTCTATCTCAGGTAGGCCTAGAACTTAACTTTGTAGCCAAGGGTGACTTCTTTTTGAGACAGGGTTTCTCTGTGGCTTTGGAGGCTGTCCTGAAACTAACTCTTGTAGACCAGGCTGGTCTCGAACTCATAGAGATCCAGCTGCCTCCGCCTCCCGAGTGCTGGGATTAAAGGCGTGTGCCACCAACGCCCGGCCAAGGGTGACTTCTTGAACTTCTGATCCTCTTGTCTCACCTCCACCCTGTGAGTGTTGGAAAGTCAGGTTTACAAAATTATGTCTGGTTTATGCTGGCAGAGATCAAATCCCAGATCTCCTGAATGTTATCTTAGCAGTCTACCAACTGATCTATATCCACAGCTGCTCCCTACCCCCTCTTCCTTCTTGAGACATAAGCTCAAACTGTTAGCCTAGGCTGGTCTCAAACTGTTAGCCTAGGCTGGTCTCAAACTGCTAGCCTAGGCTGGTCTTAAACTGGAAGCAGTTTTCCAAGTACTAGGATTACTGTCATGTACCACCATGTCCAGCTTGCAATACCTTGGTTAGGTTTTTGGTTTCAAACAAAATGCTTGTGATTCTCTTTGTGACTAGCCCGAGTAAGAACTTCCTTCTTATTAGGTTACCCACCATTTTCAGGCTACATGCATACACTGACTTTTTTACCTCCTTTACACAGGGTCTCTCTGTGTAGTGTTGGCTGTCCTGGAACTCTCTATGTGGACCAGGCTGGCCTCAGACTCTCAGAGATCCACCTGCCACCTACCTCTGTCTCCCAAACACATTTCTATTTTATGATCTTTTTTTTCTCCCCCAAATTTTGTTTTTTTTTTTTGTTGTTGTTGTTAATGGTACTAATCATATATATATAGGAAATATTTCCGATAATGTGTGGTGGAAAGCAATATAGTGTAATAAAATCTGAGATCCTATGGCTCAGATTTTCCCCAGCTCAACAGTTGACAAGTTCTGAGACTTTGCACACACCACTTTACCCACTTCTTTTAACTAACTCTGCCCAGCTCCAGGCTGGGGATAGGGAACACAGGGCTTTGCTCCAGCTAAGTAAGTATCTGTCACTGAGCTACAGCCCTAGCCCTTAAGTTGAGTTTTTAAAGCTTAGGTTTCCCATGTGTAAAATAAAAATTATAATGCTCACTTGTTTTCAAGGCTAGGGATAATAATAAAGCCTCCAAACAGAGATTTGTCATATGTAGTCATCTAATAAATAGTAGTTATGTGGTTTTTAGTCCATTTTCTTTCATAGGTGTTTTGTTTTTAGTAACTATTTTCCACATCCTTTATAACAAAGGTTGAGGTAGTCCAGCAGTGGTGTGTGTAGGAAGTTTGGTACCTGTTGGCTCCACAGTTGTTTGGAAATTGCAAAGTCACTTTTATGAGTGCTGGATGCATAATATACATACAATAGAGGTAGTATTTGGCCAGACATGATAGCCCATGCCTGTAAGCTCAGCACTCAGGAGGCTGAGGCAGGAGGATCACCTCCAGTTTGAGGTCAGTAGAGTCTCTGTTTCAAAAGATTGAAAAACCAATAGAGTAACCAAGATACTGAAAGTCAGTTGGGAAGGCATACAGGAAAAAGAGAGATAAGAGCTTTTGAAAAGGAGGTAAGTACAATGAAGGAAAAGAAGGAGTGTCCTTCTAGTCAGTGGAGCATTCGAGCCGGAACCCCACCCTCCCTGTTCTTTGGGTTGCTTGTTTTGTCTAGTAGGGTCCGGTTTCTGTTCCAAGCCACAACCTCTTTCTGTGAGGTTGAAAGGTTCTCTGTACTGAGCCAGGCACTGAGTCAGAGAAACCAAACAATTCCCAGATTACTAAGGGCCTTGCGGAGTCAGCACAATCTTCCTCAAAGCCATCTTTGAAGAAATTGTGATTAAGTCATGTGAATTTTTGAGATGCTAAAGATCTGTGCCCTGATTGGTTTGCTCTGTGCTGCTTCTCCCAGCCTACTTGGAAGTTTTTCAGCCTTTGAAAGAATTATTTGATTCATCCAGAAATGACTCTGCTCTTTTCTCATTTCAGAACTCAGTCCAATGTAGCTTCTGCCTGGAAGTCCTTTCTAGAAAAGTTAGCTTTCTGAGTTGTGGATCTGAGCATGTTTGTAAATCTGAGCCTAAAATGTCCATCCAGACCTATCCGAGTGTCTGTCTAGTCCCTGAGCATCTGTGCTTTTATTATGTAGGTTCCTTCCTAACCACAGGATCTTTGTTCCCCATTCTTGGAATTTTTCGGGTCATCTCATTCAGCTGCTTGTAAAAATAGAAGGTTCATGTGAGCCCCAAAACACAGTGCATTTGTTTGCTGGATTTCTTTTCATTTGCTTTTTGTTGTTTTCAAACATGGTCTTATTCTGTAGCTCTGGGTGGCCTGGATACATACAGAATGGCCAGCAATCCTTCTGCCTCAGTCTCCCAAGTTCTGGGGTGATTACTTGATTATCTAAACACCTTCCTTTTCTAGTCATCGTCTTTCTCCCACCTCTGCATCCGTCCATCCCTCAGGGTCCATTGTCTGAATGGAGTTAATACAAAGATACAAGCTTGAGAGATCAAGTCACCAGGAAAGCCCCAACTAACGCTGTGCCACTTCAGGTTACTCACACTTTATTTGGATCAACTGTGCTTAGATTTTGAATTCTAAATAATAGCAGTTTCCTGTGCTAGGAGAAGATGGAAGGTAAGAGAAGACCCCTCCACTAGCTGTCTGTCTCTGTTCCCTCCCACACAGAGAGCGGCAGTAGAAGTAGTCACTATATAAAGATATTCAAAAGTTATAAGTATTTACCTTAAAATATTAAGAACAGCTAGAAGCCCAAAACAATAACAGTTGTGTATGCTTTTTATTTATGTATTTTTTTTTTGAGACAGAGTATCCTCCCGCCTCCTCCTCCTGAGTGTTTGGATTATATGTGTGCACTAATTCATATGGCTGTGCATATGTGTTTGTATAAGATTTTATACATATATATGTATATATACACATATACACATGCACATACTTGTAAAAGTTTTATGAATATGTGTGACAATATTTAGATATACAAATAGGTACATATACATGTTCATGGTGGGTTTTTTGTTTGTTTTGGGTGGGTTTCTTTTTTCTTTTTTGAGACAGGGTTTCTTTGTGTAACAGCCCTTGCTGTCCTGGCACTCACTCTGTAGACCAGGCTGGCCTCAAACTCACAGAGATCCGCCTGCCTCTGCCTCCTGAGTGCTGGGGTCTAAGGTATGCACCACCACCACCTTTATTTCATAATTTATGGTTAGCTAAATACATAGTTATATAGATAGGAATAAATATTATGTAAATGTAGCTATGATGCAGAATGATTTTGTTTTGTTGATTATTTTTTATTGTTGTTTTTGGGGTTTTTTGGGGGGGGTTCAAGACAGGGTTTCTCTGTGGCTTTTGGAGGCTGTTCTGGAACTAGCTTTTGTAGACCAGGCTGACCTCGAACTCACAGAGATCTGCCTGCCTCTGCCTCCCGAGTGCTGGAACTAAAGGCATGCACCACCACTGCCTGACAACAATGGTCTCATTTTTATCTGCTGTGGTGTGTGTGTGTGTGTTTGGGGCAGTGTCTTACTCCAGGTGGCCTCACACTTGTTCTGCCTTGGTCTCTCATTTTCACCATTGTGTACCTTTGATGCCAGTGTCCTTTGTAGATTTTCATTGGCAAGGTGGTTTCCATCAGTATCTTTTGGGGACTTGCATATCGATAGGAATGGTGGCATGTGACCGGTCCCAGCACTTTGGAGGTGGAGGATGGAAGATCAAAGTCATTTGTCTACATAGCAACTTTGAGGGGGCGGGGTGGGGCTGGGTGGAAGAAAAGGTGGAGCGTATACATTTTCAACAGGGTGTATGTTAGTCCTGTGTTTTTGGTAGCCATGCCTGAAACTAAGAGTCAACTATAGAAATTATTTCTGCTTTTTCTCCTGGGAATTCACTTGTTCAGTGTGGCTTCTTATCAACCAGCTCTGTTTAAGGGGTCTCCTTAGAGAAATGCCAGTGACCACAAGCATGTGCGGACATTTTCCTTTGTTTGTTTTAAAACTTCAGGAATTGAAGCCACTGTTTCTGAAGGAAGTTGGTTGTCACTTTGATGACTTTGTGACTAATCTCATTGAAAAGTCTGCATCTCTGGACAATGGTGGGTGTGCTCTCACAACCTTCTCCATTCTTGAAGAAATGAAAAACAACCACAGAGCCAAGTGAGTATGTGTGCTGTTGTCTCTTAGCCTAGACATCTCCTCCAGCACAGCCCCGTGGTCAGAGTGTGGTGCGCAGTGAATGCCCCTGCGGCTCACACCGTGTCACCACTTTTACATTGCTGAATTTCATTATGAGTTGGGCTTCTGTTCATTTTATTTATTATCATAATATTTATTTATCATTAATTATTGCTTATTTTTGTTTTATTTGTTTTAGTTTTTCCAAACAGGGTTTCTCTGTGTAACAGCCCTGGCTATCCTTGAACTTGCTTTGTAGACCAGGCTGGCCTTGAACTTAGAGTTTCATTTGCCTCTGCCTCTTGAGTGCTGGAACTAAAGGTGTACTGCCCGACTAACTCAAACTTTTTTGCATTCATTTAATTTGTTTGTTTGTATGTATGTATGTATGTATATGTGGGGGCAAGCAGTCTACAGTGTACATGTAGAGGTCAGAGGACATTTTTGATTGTCACTTCTCTCCTTCCACCATGTGGATCCCAGATGGAACTAAGGTTGTCAGGTTTGGTGACGAGTTCCTTCACCTGCTGAGCCATCACACTGGCCCAGTATGGGTTTTATAACGTGCGTATATAACTTCAAACCATGCCCCTCATTGTGAGGTAGATGCTACAGCTGTCTGCATGTTACAGACCAGTGCAGCTATCCAGGATTCCACATTGGGGGTTTAACCTAGAGTCTGGCTCCAGAGTCTTTGCTTTTAACCACATCATTCCATGTCTGTTGTAGACTCTTCAGTGTGTACTCTGTGATAAAGTACCCTGCAGTTAGGATGTATCTAAAGGGGAATGCATCAAGGGCTAATATGTGCTAATTCGCCATTCAGATTTTCTGCCAGTCTCTCCTGGAGAACAGTTTTGAGAATCAATAGCTAATAACAGTGTTCTAAATAAGATGGTATGTGGAGCACTAAAATGTGAATTTTTATTACTCCAAAAGCAGATGATATGATCAGGGTGCTGTTGGGAGTTTTGCAAATTCTGTGACACTGGGAAGAGTTCTATAAACAACAGGATGAAAGATGTTGCCAAGCCTGAGTTCAATCCTTGGTTTAACCTGGTGAAAATTGACTCCTGCAAGTTGTCCTCTGATCTCTGTACATGTGTGTGCCATCCTCCTCCAGATAGTAATTAAAGAAAATGTCAAAAGTAAACAAATATCAGGCAGTGAGGAGGACACGTCAGTAGCAGTGTACAGTGTGGAGGACACGTCAGTAGCAGTGTCCAGTGATGACACATCAGTAGCAGTGTCCAGTGAGGAGGACATGTCAGTAGCAGTGTCCAGTGAGGAGGACACGTCAGTAGCAGTGTCCAGTGTGGACACATCAGTAGCAGTGTCCAGTGAGGAGGACACATCAGTAGCAGTGTCCAGTGAGGAGGACACGTCAGTAGCCGTGTCCAGTGTTGTGGAGGACTGTGCATCACCTCAGGGTCTCTCAGGATGGGTGGTACAGGAACTGTCTTTCCATGGGGCTGGAGATGGAAACTCAGGTGCTTTATTTAGGTGTCTGACCTAGCTCCTACCTAAGTAAGTACACATGCACCCTCATGCACAGCACTGTCAGGAGTGGTGAGATAACATGTATAAAACCCTCAGCATAATACTGGATTCGTGGGGAAAGGAAGTCAAGGAATGTTAGCCAGTACAGTTGCTGGCGAGCACCTTCTTGCTTATGGGATTAAGCTTCTTATCTAACTTCCACTACCCGTGTTTTGTTGTAATTTTTTTCTTTTCCAGAGATCTGAGAGCACCTCCAGAAAAAGGGAAGATTTTTATTTCAAGGCGGTCTCTGTTAGAGTGAGTGATTTTTTGCTTTTGTTAATTATCAGTTTGATTTTAGGAAAGAAAGAACTGTCATGATTTATAGAATCTTTAGTCTGTCTGTCTGTCTTGTCTTGTCTTGTCTTGTCTTGTCTGTCTATCTCTTTAGTTTGTTCCAAGTTTTTATAAATTATGAACTTTTGTGATGTTTTTGTGTTCCTTCTTGCTTATCTCTCTTTCTTTGGGAAAGTTTGACTTAAGCCAGGTATATATCTTGTGACAAATTCTTTGAAGTTGTGCTATATACGATTGTTCATCCAGCAGAAGTAGTCTACTTGGAGAGAATTTTGGAATTGCTGCTGTTTTAGGGGATCTATTGCTGTGAAGAGACATCCTGACCACTGGCAACTCTTATAAAGGAAAACATTTAACTGGCTTGGGGTGTCTTACAGTTCAGAGGGTTAGTTCATTAGCATCATCCTGGAACATGATGGCATGCAGGCAAGCATGGTGTGGGAGAAGTAGTTAAGTGCCCTACATCTTGACTTGCGGGCAACAGGAAGTGAACTAAGACACTGGGTGTGGCTTGAGCATCTATGAGACCTTAACACCCACCTCCACAGAAACATACTTCAACAGGGCCACAGCCACTCCAACAAAGCCATACCTCCTAATAGTGCCATTCCCTTTGGGGACTCTTTTCTTTCAAACCACCACAGCTGCCTTCTTAATATGTGTATATTTTCATGAGTGAGATTCTTGATAGTTTTCTCAAAGTTACTTTAAAAAAAAAAATCCATGCTCATCTAATCTCTTTAAAATTGCATGCTTTGAATGCATTGTGCTGACTTGATTTATAAACCAAAAACAAAAGGTGTATTTTGGATGGGAGTTGGCTGTTTTTTCTTCTTTTCTGTTAGTCACTTATAAGTCACCTGCTTATTAAGGTATTCATTGGGATATTGATAAAATTGACCTGCATTAGTACAGGGCATTGGGTTGATGAAAATTACATCAGGTGCTGTAATGTGCCTTCCTTTAAAAATGAACCTTGTTATATCAAAACTTAATTTATAAGCCAAATTGGTGTATAGTTTCTAACTTAATGAGAAGGGCAGAATTTTCTATATTCTGTTCATGTTGTATTTTAAAGCAGTTGGGCTGTGTGTTCTAGTTTCAGGAGAGTGATCTTTCAAAATTTATAATCTGGAGAAAAATGCAGGCTTTTTACAAAGAACAAGGAATCATTATTTAAACATTTTAACATAAGGATTGCATTGTTGAAAATTTAACAAAATGAAGGGGGTTATAGCTCAGTGGTAGAGTGCTTACTTACATAGGCTTACATAAAATCCAGAGTTCAGTCCTCCTTAAAGAGAAGGAAGGGAGAGAAAATGCCAGGGAGAAGAGAAGAGGAAAAATGTCAATTAAAATATACTCGAACTTAAAAAAAGGAAACGTGACCAAGGAAATGACTTAGCTAGGTTGTTATTGGTTTTGAAGGTCATTTATACAGAGGCTTAAGAATATTTTAGACCCTCTAGAGTTGTGAGAAGGCTGTATACACTTCCCAAAGCCAGGGCTAGAACACTTATTTCAGTTGGATACAGAAGATGCTGACTGAGGAAGAGTCACCCAGAAGGTCATTCTGTTAAAAGGCAAACAGCTAATCTGTAGAACTGTAGGCCAGCAGAAAGTAGAAGGCCCTGGGAATGGTTAAGGTTTAGGTTGGTGGGCGGTAGCTGGCTACCATCATCCACAAAGGAAGACAGATTTAAGTGAGCTGGTAAAACCAGGCTTTCTGGAGGGTTTGGAATAGAGATGGTCTTCCTTCTCTACTGTGACCCACCTTTGCTCACAAAGCAAACAGCTGTCAGTGGGTTTTCCAGATGTAGGCTGCTCCTCCGACGTAGCTGTGCTGTTTTCTGTGAGTCAGTATCCTAGTGTGGAAAGAAAGCTTGAGAATCCATTATTTTTTACGTTGATTATATCATTTAATTTCTGTATATTTCAGTTTTAATATTGTGCTTTTTTGAGTTTTTAAAGAGATTTCTCAAAGAGTAGACATCTTGCGAACTGCTTTAAAAAGTGTCTTCATTATACTGGTACTTTAAAATTAAATACCTTAACTTATGATTTGTTTGATTTGCATTTCCAGTGAGCTGTTTGAAGTGGACCACATCAGAACTATTTACCACATGTTCATTGCACTCCTCATCCTCTTTATCCTCAGCACACTTGTGGTAGATTACATTGATGAAGGAAGGTAAGACAGCGGGCATCTGGCTAGTTGATGTGTGAAAAGTTGACTGTTCTCATTTGATTAAAAAAATTCCAAGGCAGCTGAGTTGATGATGACTTTCTTCTCTCCAAAAAGTAAATGAAAAAAAGTTTCATTACTCACCATTATCATCATCATCATCATCATCATCTTTTTTTTTTTTTTTTTTTTTTTTTTTTTTTTTTTTTTTTTTTGAGAAAGTAGTCCAGCTAGACTCAGACTTACTACGTAGCTGAAGGTGATCTTGAACTCCCGATCCTTGCTCCCCCACCTCTCAAGTGCTGGGATGACAGGTCTGCACCGCCATTCCTGGTCAGCAGTGCTGGAGTGCTCAACAACTGAGCTATATTCACGACTCTCTTAAAGTGTGCTCTCTCTGTTTTACAGGGCTACATAAGGCCATTTTGTGCAAGTATATAATATTCTTGAGTTTATTTTCCCCATGTGGAGGCTGCCCTCCTCTTTAGTCCCCTTAGTTCTTCAATTTGCTCTACTTTTCATATTGTCTGTACATACACGATCTTGTGTGTCTATAAAGTCTAGAACCCACAGATGATAGAAAACACATAATATAAATATAAATAAATCTCAGGTTGACATAATTCCCTTAATAAGATTATGTCCATGTGAAGCAAGCTTGTTCCTAATTTGAACTAATAAAAGAATAAAAAAAAAGATTATGTCCTGTTGTACTCATTTTCCTGTAAATGATGCAACTTCATTCTTTAGATTGAAAAAAATTCCACTGTGTATATAAATCACATTTTTTCTTACGAGTCCTCCATTGATGTTGTACCATTGGTTCAGTAACCTAGCTGTTGTGAACAGTGCTATACGAAACACATGTGACATGTTGATACCCATGACTTGATATGTTCATGTTGCTGTGTTTCTAAAAGTTGAAAGCTCTCTCTCTGTGTGTGTGTTTGTGTGTGTGTGTGTGTGTGTGTGAGAGAGAGAGAGAGAGAGAGAGAGAGAGAGAGAGAGAGAGAGAGAGAGAGAATTTTTAAGTTCTGTAAATCCATTGCATATCAGACATTTACTTTTTGTTTTTTCCCCACAGGCTGGTACTTGAGTTCAATCTCTTGGCCTATGCTTTTGGCAAACTTCCTACTGTTATTTGGACATGGTGGGCCATGTTCCTGTCTACACTTTCAATTCCCTATTTCTTGTTCCAACGTTGGGCCCATGGCTACAGCAAGACTTCTCATCCACTCATCTATTCCCTTAGCCACGGCTTTTTCTTCTTAGTCTTCCAGCTTGGAATTCTAGGTTTTGTACCAACGTATGTTGTGTTAGCATACACACTGCCCCCAGCCTCACGGTTCATTGTTATACTTGAACAGGTGAGGGCTGGCGTGTTACTGGGGATAATGATATATATGCCTAGTTAAATAATAACAATAATGATCTAGTACTGATGCTGTTATCAACTGATGCTAGCCCTGGATATATAAGTTCATATGTATCTCCATACCATTATCTGTAGAGCTGAAGGGTTTTTGAGTCAGGAGCTAATGTATAGCAAGTCCTAATTTTCCTGCCACATGCTCCCAAATTCTGGGGTTATAAGTACACCACCATGCTGGCTTTATTGAAGTGTTTAACTGGGTCCTATCGTTTTAAAAATTCATTCTACTTCAGTTATCTGAATCTGAAATAAATTATATTGAATTATTTTTGAAAAAAAATGTTTTCAAATACTTTTAAAAGTCATTTAGATTATACGTTTGTAGTTGAAAAAGTCCACATTTGAAGTGCTGAACTTACTACCATGTCATCCTGTTGCTTGTTGAAATGAGAGATACGTTTTAATTTGTTTGTACTGCACTCTCAGGAGTTTTCTGGCTTGTGTTGACTAATGGAAAGGATCATGTCCTTTGCAGTGCTGGGGTGGGGGTGGGGTGTTGGGCTGTTAGGCAGGAGCTCTGCCACTGAGGTACATGGAATATATTTCTAACTTCTCAGTTTCTTGTTTGTAATAAACCTGTAATACTTCTGTTAGGTACCAAATAATGTAAGTGATTACATGTCCTTCTTTGGAAGTTTTTTCCTCTTTATAAAGGCTAACTTGAGTTAGAATGTGAAAATTTAAGTTTTGTGTGAATATTACCCAGTTCAGTTCTGGAGTTACTTATAGAAGACAAGATGGCCACAGTAAATTCACTTCCCCTCTCCTTTGGCAGATTCGTATGGTAATGAAGGCTCACTCGTTTGTCAGAGAGAATGTACCTAGAGTACTAAATGCCGCCAAGGAAAAATCAAGTATGTAACTCTGTTCCCATAAAGGGTTATTGATGGGATATTTCATCTTTTTTTCATGCTGGGATGATGTTGTATTCTGTAGAGAGTATACTTTATTCTAAGTGCATGGGATCCATATTGATTTGGAAGACTCATTATTTCCTGACTATTCTGTTTTGTCCTTTTATCTACAATGCAAAAATTTATCTTAAGACTCCTATAACTTAGCATTCACTGAATGTTCATAGCCTCACTCCCCCTGTGTCTGCTTACTTTGCAAATTATGGCTTCCCATCCTAGAATTTTTATCTTAGTCACAGTAATAGCTTAGAGAGATTGGCAGTACTGGCTTATTGCATGAATAACAAGTCAATTTAGTAAACCAGGAAGAAAAACAGGAGCCAAGAAGTCATGCTGTTCTTCCTGGTTCTTCTTCTTTTTTCTTTTTTTTTTCCCCCCCAGAGATAGGGGTTTTTCTGTGTAGTCCTGGCTGGCCTTGAACTCACATACATCCATCTGCCTCTGCCTCCCAAGTGCAAGTGCTGGGATTAAAGGCATGCACCACCAACGGCCAGGCCAGCCCTGTTTTTGCTTCCTTTTTTTTGGCTCTTCTTGTTGGCTGGGAGAAGTCAAAGATCTTGTAATCTAGTAGTTTTCCTTTTTTAGGCACAGTTCCAGTACCCACAGTCAACCAGTACCTGTACTTCCTGTTTGCTCCTACACTTATTTACCGTGACAGCTATCCGAGGTAACCTTGAAAGGGGGAGGAAAGTAAGGGGACAGCTTTGAAGGAGGGCAATTCATACGGGGCTACAGAAAAAATTGGATGCCATGAGTGGTCATTTCTAGTAGACTAGTTCTAATGAATCATTCTTGATAGAATGACATAATTTTGTTATGATTTTGATGTTAAAGTTTTGCAGGTGGTGGGGGTTGGAATTCAAGGCTTCGTGGCATGCCAAGCACACAGTGTCCTGTTAAGCTATTCCTTTCTGTAAATTATATGTGTAGAAAAACATTGTTGGGTTACTAACCTTGTAGATAAAAGGACAAAATAGAAATAGTTTATTGCCTATTTTAGAGAACCTGTGTTTCCTCTTTTCAGGACTCCTACTGTAAGATGGGGCTATGTTGCTGTCCAGTTTTTACAGGTAACTTTTAAAAAACTGCCTAACATGTTAGCGATAGATACATTTTATTTTATTTTATTTTATTTTATTTTATTTTATTGGTTTTTCAAAACAGGGTTTCTCTGTGTAGCTTTGTAGACCTGGCTGGCCTCAAACTCACAGAGATCTGCTTGCCTCTGCCTCCTGAGTTCTGGGATTAAAGGCACTGCCCAGCTTGATACATTTTATTTTATTTACAGATTTTTATTTATTAACAAATGGGCTTTTTAAAAAAAAATACATAGTTTACGTTTATTGTATGTTCATTGGTGTTTTGCCTGCATGTGTATCTGTGTGAGGGTGTTAGAAACTCTGAAACTGGAGTTACAGACAGGTGTAAGCTGCCGTGTGGGTGCTGGGGAGTGAATGAGAGTCCTCTGGAAGAGCCCCTAGTTCTCTTAATTGCTGAGCTATCTATCCAGCCCCATAACAGGGTTTCTCTATTATGTAGCCCTGGCTGTCCTGGAACTCACTATATAGACCAGGCTGGCTTCAAATTCAGTGGTCTACCTGCCTCTGCTTCCCAAGTCCTGGATTTTTTTTTTTTTTTTTTAATCTATTTAAAATGTTGAGCCAGAGATGGTGGCTTACACCTTTGATCTTAGCACTTAGCAGAGGCAGGGGGGTCTCTGAATTCTAGTATCAACCAGGACTCTATTATGGTGAGACCCTGCCTCCAAAAATAAGGTTGGTAAATTATGTCAGTAAGCTCCTCAAGAATGCTTTCTGTCACCGGGTGTTAGTGGCTCATGCCTTTAATCCCAGCTCTCAGGAGGCAGAGGCAGGCAGCTCTCTGTGAGCTTGAGGCCAGCCTGGTCTCCAGAGAGAGTGCCAGGATAGGCTCCAAAGCTACACAGAGAAACCCTGTCTCGAAAAACCAAAAAAAAAAAAAAAAAAAAGAATGCTTTCTGTCAAGACTAAACCTTTAAAGCTACTCCAGTAAGGGCGATGTGTGTGCTTTGTTGGGTTAAAGGTCATTTTCTTCATTAAAGGGGAGTCTTTAAATTACAGTCATTCTGTTTGGTTGTATGAGTAAGAACCTAGATAGATTTCCTTCTCTCTTTCTGGGTGTGGCTGTTTGTGTCTGGGTTTGCTTTGAATCCCCCATTTTTTCCTCATTCATTTTGAGAATCATAAAATGAGTTTTCTTTATTCTAGGTTTCACAAACAGGTTCTTTGATCATCTTCTAAAAATGCCACTTGGGCCAGGTGTGGTGGCATGCGTCTGTAAACCCAGTACTCAGGGTGCTAAGGCAGGAGGATTATTGAGTGTAAAGCCAGCCTGAGCTACACAGCAAGATATGATCTTTAAAAAGACAAAAGAGTCATTTAGTGAATGATTAGGAAAACCATGGTAGAAATGAGGCCTGAGTATCCCTCTGAAGGAGTGGACTTCCTATAGGCTGGGGTTAAATGAAATAAATGTATGTAAACATTAGTTGTATGTCTATTTCTTTTGGAGGAACACATGGCCTCCCTCTTTCTTTATGAAGCTGTCATTGTTTCTTTGCTGTGTTCCAGGTTTTTGGCTGTCTGTTTTATGTGTACTACATCTTTGAGAGACTCTGTGCCCCATTGTTCCGGAATATCAAACAGGAGCCCTTCAGCGCTCGTGTTCTGGTCCTGTGTGTGTTTAACTCCATCTTGCCAGGTAACCCAGATGCTCATTCGCTTGTCCATCCATATAATATGGTCAGGAAGAGAGCAGGAAGCTGCTCCGTAGGCACCTTTAGTTCCCCGCTTTTTCCTATGAACTTAGCTGTACATATATATCCACTTCTTCGTCTGCTGCAGAAGTGAAATGTCCTTCTAGTTTCACTTCTCACTTAAGTTTGTTTCCTCCAGCAGTGGGACGTCCACAATTTGTGTAATTTCCTTTTCCTATTCGGTTCTCTATAATCTCTAATCTCACCAGGCCATCAGATACCCATAGTTAAAGTCACCCACCAGTAACCTCCTGATGCTAAACCAGATAGATGGTTTAACTGTTTCCAGAGTGACCAACAGGAGACGTGGGATGCTCTAGCCACATTTTGAAGTTTCCGTTTGCCACTATTTCTTATCTTTCTGCTTTTCATCATACCTTGTCTCCTAGTTTCTTTCAGTGCATGTACTTTTTTTCTGGTAACAAACACATGAGTTCCTACTGTGTGTCAATGCTGAGGACTCAGCTGTAGATGATGCACACACAGTGTTTACTTTGGAGAGCTTGCACTTGAGAACTTCTTTGACTTAACCTTCAGAGCTTCTTTGACTTAACCTTCTTGTCTCTACTCACTACTGTTGTCACCACTCCCTTTTCTGTCTTTTTTTTTTTTTTTTTTTTTTGGTTTTTTGAGCCAGGGGTTCTCTGTGTAGCTTTGGAGCCTATCCTGGCACTAGCTCTGGAGACCAGCTGGCCTCGAACTCACAGAGATCCGCTTGCCTCTGCCTCCCGAGTGCTGTGATTAAAGGAGTTCGACACCAACGCCCGGCCCTTTTCTGTCTTTTAGATATTCCTATAACATGGATAGACACACACACACACAGACACATACACACACACCTGTAATTTAACTCACTTGACTGAAAACTCCTTGAGATTAAGGATCATATTTTAAGAGTATTTATTTTTATTTTGTGTGTATTATTTGCCTGAATGTATATGTACCATGTGCTTGCAGTGGCCTTAGATACCAGAAGAGGGTTTTGGATCACCTGGGACTGGAATCACAGACATTTTAGTTTACCCTGTATAGTCCAGCAAACACTGTATGAATTTTTTTTTGAGCAAGTGAATAAAATAGGTGGATATGCAATGAGTATTTTACAGTATAATGTGAAAGTACTGTATAAATAGAATGGCCTTGTAGACTTTTAGCATTAGGCATTGAAAAATATGTGGGAAAAGTAAAAAAAAAAAAAAAATACTGTCTGGGAAAAGTGGGAAGGTTTTTGGACAGAAGGACAGATAGCAAGCCCTGGAGTAACCTCTTGGAATGGCAGAAGTCCAATTGTAGATGATGTTTGCAGCACCCAGAGAGAGTTAAAGGGTCTTGGGCACCAAGTTTAGCAGCATATCCAGGCATTTCTTTAAAACAGGCTGGAATCATCTATTTTCTGTTAAAATTACATAGAAATACATTATTATATTTTAAAGGATACAAAAACAAACAAAAAACAAAAAAAACACACCCAAACCAAAAAAACAATAACAACAACAAAAACCAAACCCTAGCCTTTCCAAGGTGTGCTGTATGACCTCTGGAATGGGTGAGCTGGAATACCCTTAGGCTTTGCGGCAGCATCCCGCTAAACGTACGCTGGCGTGTTGTTGATGATGGCTGGCTATGTGAGCGGCTTGGAAAGACTTCAGATTGTCACTCTTGTTTTCAGGTGTACTGATGCTGTTCCTTACGTTCTTTGCCTTTTTGCACTGCTGGCTCAATGCCTTTGCTGAGATGCTACGCTTTGGTGACAGGATGTTTTATAAGGGGTTTCTCTGTGTAGCCCTGGCTGTCCTGGAATTCTCTCTGTAGATCAGCCGGCCTCTGCCTCCCAAGTATTGGGATTAAAGACGTGTGCCACCATGCCTGGCATTTCTAATCAATTAAAGAAAGAAGTGATTGGGGTTGGGGTGGGGCACCCATGCAGCAGGAGCGCATGTGTGTTCAAGAGGTGGAAGTCAGGCTGTCAGGCGTGGCCGCAAGCACTGTGCCCTCCTGAGCTACCCTGCCTGCCTTTACATTCCATTTTATTTCCATAATGCTAAGTATTCAGCTTTGTTGGTTAGTATTGCCAGCTTTTTGACACAAATACCATGAGATAATTTTCTTCTCTTCTCTCCCAGTTTTACCAATGTTAAATCTGAAATTCTGATACATGCATGTGTAGTTATCATAACCCTCTGACGCCTCTTCCCTTAAGATAGCAAATGAGTGCTGTTACATACTCGTAAACTCAGCAATCAGGAGGCTGAGGCAGGAGAATTTTACCATGAGTTCCAGGCCAGCCTGGACTACAGTAGAGTAAAACTTTGTCTTGGCCTTTCTTTTTCCCAAGCCCACAAAGAGCATATGGCCTCTGTTGGATCCTGTGAGGTTCTGGTGACTGTGGCGGGAAGTGTTTATCAGAGGGCATTATGCCGACTCCTCGAGGTGCATTTCAAATTGGCTGCTGGATTTTGTAAAGTAGCCTTAACATGTTAGTCTGTTTTGACTGGAGAGCAGTTCCCAAGGGAAATAACTTCCTTCATTTTCAAAGGTGTTATTTCTGCTTCAAATGGTATTCTTAGACTTCCAGAGCTGGCCGTGTTAAGTTTTATTGTTCTTTCTCAAAGACAGTAAATGTGGATGGAAGATTTTGGATGTCTGATTCTATTAGTCTTACCTTCAAATTGGGAGCAAAAAAATACAAAAGGGACATTAGAACCACCATCTCACTCCCTTCATAATTAAGTGTTGTAAGGTTCCAGTCAGCCTGCTCGCATGTGTGTTCAGTTCTCTTGTGTTTAACAAGGTGGAGCGGAAGTTTGCTGATAGCTGTGGAGGTAAACATTAGATGTAAATGGTTGTGTGCTCTATGTCTTCTATCATAACTTATTTGATAATGAGACAAAATGCACCCAGAGCCTTAACCTATGTATAGGGCTAATATGCATTAGTATTGACTACTAACTGCTCACGTGCTTTCTGAGATTTCTAGCATCAGTGTGGGAACTAACAATTTTATCATAATGTCCTTCGGGCTCTCTGTCAGTCATGTATGCTCTTTGGAAATGGCCAGGGGTTTTACAGTGTGTGTAATTTTATACCTTTCCTTTTCTCTCAGGACTGGTGGAACTCTACATCCTACTCCAACTACTACAGGACCTGGAATGTGGTGGTCCATGATTGGCTCTACTATTATGCTTACAAGGACCTCCTCTGGGTAAACAGCAAGACCTATTTGATGTTATATAAGAAATGGTGATTCTGAAGGGCTTGGAGAGACGGCTCAGTGGTTAGGAGTGCTTGCTGCCCTTGCAGGGAACCTGGGTTCAGTTCTCAGAACCCACACTGGGCAGCTTACAACCACATGTAACTACAGGATATTGGATACCGTCCTCAGGCCTATGCATGTACCTGCGTGCATGCAGTCCACGTATTTACACATAGAAATACCATAAGCTAATCTTTATGAAGAAGTCCAGCATGGTGGCACACACCTCACAGCACTTGGGAGGCAGAGCCACGTGGATTTCGGAGTTCAAGGCTGAGCTGGTCTACATCCTAAGTTTTAGGGCAGCCAAGCAAACATGAAAGAAATTTTTTTTTAATGGTGTTGCACAGCTGGAAAAAGTTGTGTTTAATTGCTTGTGAAGAAGGTGTTACAGTTTCTTATCAACTTTCTTAGAAGTTCTCATCTAAGAACCTGTGTGCTGTGAATGGTATTGTACATGGAAACCGTTAGGTACAGGCCTCTCTCTGGACTTCACTAGCTGGTTACAAAGTCACAATTCTTAGAGGTCTGTATAGGAGCTGAAATGATTCATCTACCAAGGACCTTTAGGAATCTCATTGCTCACAAATAATTTCCCTTTAGCCTCCCTCTCTCAATCCTCCTCACCCTTCAGTGGCTCTCTCTGAGCCCCCCCCCCCATAGACCAGGTACGCCTGGAATTTGCAAGTATTCCCCTGCCCCTGCCCACCATACCCACTTTCATTTGGATTTGTTTCTTTGTTAAAAGTAGAGAGCTAGCACCGGGCATTGGTGGAGCATGCCTTTAATCCCAGCACTCGGGAGGCAGAGGCAGAGGCAGGTGGGTCTCTGTGAGTTTGAGACCAACCTGGTTGGTCTACAAGAGCAAGTTCCAGGACAGACTCCAAAGCCACAGAGAAACCCTGTCTTGAAAAACAAACAAACAAACAAAAAAGTAGAGAGCTACTGTGGATTTACATCTCCCCAACCTAAGACTAGGTGGGAGCCAGGCTTTGGCGAATAATGTATTTAGAGTAACTAAACACAGCCTGTACCTCTGGTTAACACTGGTGTCTCTGAAATCATCCACTCAGTGACTGATGGCTTCCTAAGGAAACAGGCATTCAGACTGAATTCTCTCACTCACCTTGAAGACCCATGTTGGGCTGAGGCAAGTCTCTTGTTTTTAAATCTTAGTTCTGGAAAGGGTGCCTGCCCTGTGTTTTATACAGTGTCCCTCTCATGATTGAAATCTGAGCCTGGTGTGGTCATGTGAGCACTTGGAAGGTGGAGGCTAAAAGATCAGGAGTTCAAGACTGGCCTGCAGTACATGAAACTTGGCTCAGTAATGTTTCTAGAACTTTTCACAATAGCACCACAATCTGGAAATCAAGCCCTCAGCATGTGAACCTTCAGGCACGACACTTCATATCCAAACTAGAGTATTGTGCATGTTTTTATAAATATTGTAATAGATTTGGGTTAACCTAAGGAATAGGCTTGGAAAGTCAAATATAATTAGGCAGGTGCCTTTAGTGCATGGTAATCATGTCTCATTGTTCATGCTTTTTTTTTTTTTTAAGTTACTAACTCTGATATTTTCTTTGTACCTTAGTTTTTCTCGAAGAGGTTCAAATCTGCCGCCATGTTGGCTGTCTTCGCCTTGTCAGCTGTAGTGCATGAATACGCCCTCGCTGTCTGCTTGAGCTATTTCTACCCAGTGCTCTTTGTACTCTTCATGTTCTTTGGAAGTGAGTGACTTGGCCTGCTGTGGGTACTGGCCATTACACTAAAGGAGAAAGTGAAACAGGAAGGAAACTATGAAATCACTTTAGAAAAGCTAGATGCCAATACCATTTCAAGGCAGTTGGTTTAGCAGGTGGTCAGAATACTGACTTTGAATAGTTATATGCAGTTGTGTTTACAGATGTTTACACACTGGAGGGAGCATGTGAACTAGGTAGCCTCTTGGGGACCAATCATAAACATTATCACTGTGCAACTCCTGAAAACAGGTCCATGTTTGAGTGTGTAGAGAGGAACCCATAAGAATAATTCCTGAAATGTATTTTCACTTGTTCTGAATACTGTTGGTTTCCTGCTAAATAGAACTGATAACGTCAATAGTTAAGCATTATTTACTTATAGAGTAACTGAGTAGGATAAAAGATGCTTATGAATGGCTGATGCTCACTGCTGGAACTCAGCCACGGCCTGTGTCTGAGCCCTCATCCCTGGTGGACTGCGTTTTGATAATTGTATTTTTGTTCTCTTTCTCACTTTAGTGGCTTTTAACTTTATTGTTAACGACAGCCGGAAAAGGCCAATATGGAACATTATGGTATGGGCTTCTCTCTTTCTGGGCCATGGAGTCATTCTGTGCTTTTATTCTCAAGAATGGTATGCCCGCCAGCACTGTCCTCTGAAAAATGTGAGTGGCCAGCCCAGCTTGGGTGTCGCCCCTGATGTAAGGGGGGGTGGTGTTACGGAGGGTGGATAGTAGCGGAGAGTGTGAGGCCGAGTTGGAAGGACGGAGGTAGGACATGAGCATCAGTTTACTTCCCAGTCTGACTGCTCTCCTGAGCTGCTCATCCTTCGCCTTTCTTCATTTTCTCCCTGGTCCTTCATTTTCTTTTTGCTTCTCCTCGCTGTGGCTCTGTATCTCCAGGGTTTTCCCAATGGCATTTACATCCCTTCCTCTGAAACTTGGATATTTTTTATCCCCCCCCCCCCAAAAGTAATAAGCTTTTCTAAAAAATGTCGGAAGACACTGATGTCTGGGGCTGCGTTTCCCTTGAATTTACCACACTTTTTCTTTTTCCCCCTTGTGGTTATGTTTGGGTTTTGTTTGTTCTTAGGTTTTTTGTTTGTTTGTTTGTGTGTTTGTTTTTTAACCTATAGGTGGATAACTCCAATTTGTATGAGGCTGAGATTCCCTCTTGATATATCTTTCCTGGGTATTTCTCCCAGGAACCATAACTGAGTGTGGATATCCACAGCTGAGTTAAGAGTCTCCCCCATAGACCTCTGCATATGCTATCTTTTGTTACACCCTCAATTCCCCCTCCTTATTTCCTGTCGAAGCCTTTTGTGTATCTGATGCTCTGGATTCTGTCCCTGGTCATGCTGTTCTTTATACTCAGGTCCCACGGGCCAGATTTTATTCCCCTACTGAGACCCAGTTTGCATGCTTCACTTGCTGTGGAAGCTTCTTGAATTCTTATTCCATCATCCCTGTTTTAGAACTTCCAAAGTACTTCATATTGAAGTGGATCATGAACTTAAAACCTTGTGTTTTAGCCCTGTGCACATGCTTTATTATCCTAGTCCTACCTCTGTTTATATTTTAAACTGAAACTGAATTTTGCTAAAATAAGTTGTCAAGATGCTAAGAGACACTGTGCCTATTTTACCATTTGATCCATGGTCCACGGAGCTGAATGGTGTTTCCTGAACTTAGGGAACTTCTTACAGAGCTTCTCAGTTGAATTAATTGGTGTTATTGGTGGAAAACATCTTAGCATCTTTGAGTGAGGGAGTTTCTCAAACCTTAAAGGTCGCTGAAATGCTGGGGGCCGGTTTAAAGAAGTATAATATATGTAACGCTCAGCTGCTACCTACCCCATATACCTGAGTCACATGGACTGTGAACACAAATAAACTGTTCTTCTGCTATTTCTCCCATCATAGCCCACCTTTCTGGATTATGTCCGGCCACGTTCCTGGACTTGTCAGTACGTGTTTTAGAAGCCTGGGCTCTGCCTACTTTCTTGCCGATGAGGAATGGATGTTCTTCCTGATTCTGGCCAGCCGTCTTCAGCAGTTACTGAATATATCTAAGCCACATTGTTTGGACCACTCCAGCCTCTCCAAATGGCTCACCTGAAGCTGGGCTCGGCTCACTAAGTTATTATTTTTGGTTTGTTTCCTTTGGGAGAGAAAGGAGACCAATTGCTGAGGTAAATGGCGATTTTGGGGGGGTTATCTCAGCTCAAGCTTTGGTAGTTTTATCTGTTTGTTTCCTTAATTCTGTCCAAGGAGAGACTAAGCATATCTTGACCATGAATTAGCCAAAACACTTAGGAAGAAATCATTTCAGTACCTGTGTCTTAGAAGTTTTTCGTGCACACTGTTAGGTGAGCTAGCTAACTGTGGCAACTGGGGAGAAATAAATTTTGTTATTTCTAGTAGAAAGAGAGAAAATACCTATTTCCCAAAGATAATCTTGTTATGCTTTCTGCTCATATCTTTTGTTGCTATTTTGTTTTGCTTTGTTTCTGTGCTGGGAATGGAATCCAGGGCCTTGCCCAGTGGCAGCACACTGAGCCACACACCAGTCCCATGTTGTATTTTTCTGAAAGTTCTGGACTATTCTTTTTTCTTTTTTGTAACTTTTCTGTTTGTTGTGATTTTTTTAAAAATAATTAGCTTTCTTTCACCTTGAACTCAATACTAGTACAAATTCAAGGGTCAAAAGTATGAAGGGGAAAATACATTCCCTTTTGAAACTTCAAAAGTCATTTTAAAACATATTTGCTGAGTTAGTCATAGGTTTTAATTATGCTAGCAAAAATTCTGTAGAAGATTTTATTGTCACTGGTTTGGGTTTTTTAGACGTAGGGTCTTGCTATGTAGCTCAGGCTGGACTTGAACTTGTTATGTAGCCTGGCTAGCCTTGAACCCCTGACTGACCTCCTGCCCATGCCTCCCAAGTGCTAGGATCACAGAAGATACCACCGTGCCTGGCCAAGATTTTCCTTTCTTTTAGCTTTTAAGTTAATTAGAAGTATTCTTTGGTACAGTTGCTTTATTGTCTAACAAGTAGTGACTTTCCTTGTTATAGACTAGAGTCCATAATGGAAGTACTAATCTCTCTATTACTACTAAGCGGCTACTAAGGATCCAGAAGCTGGCTTCTGAAGCATCCGCTCCATCATTATACTTTAACAGTATATTTTTAGATGAAATAAAATACTATGTGATCATTTGTAAGGACATGTACTCATTCTGTGACATTTCCAAGTTCTGAGGTGCCCATCCCTCCACACAGTGTGGCGGGAGGACCGGCTGTGCTTGTGTACATGGGTTAGACTATGTGTGTGAGGATTGCGCATTGGAGGGGGTATCACAGACCTGTAGTTTAGCCTCCTGCCCAAAGAAATGAGCCTTACAAGTTGCTAGCACATGTACTGTTCCATGGCACAGCCATTTGAGAGACTTTGCTGGTATCGTGGCAACTGCCTGTACAGTCTTTTGAAGTCTTTACAGAGTGGTTTTTAAAAAATCATTTTGAGTCTCATAAGAAGATAATGTGAAGTTCCTTAATAATCACTCTTAATTTGGACCACGTGTCTCCAGCTTCATCACCTGCTTTATTCACCACATGTCTGGATGCATTGAGGCTGCCTCTGAATGTCAGCTTCACCTTCAGCAGGGTTTTTTTTTTTTTCCTGTTCCCAAACAATAGTGTTCTGTATTGTCACAGAACCTCAATGTCTAGTCACCTCTGTGACTAGAGCCTATTAAGTTCTGGCTTGTGTCTTACAGATTAAAGCAAGCCAGTCACTTGGTTTTTGTTTGTTTGGTTTGGTTTGGTTTCTCGAGACAGGAGAAACCTGTCTTTGTGTAGCCTTGGCTGTCCTGGAACTTGCTCTGTAGACCAGGCTGGCCTTGAACTCAGAGATCCACCTGCTTCTGCCTCCCTAAATGCTGGCATTAAAGAGTGTGCCACCACTATGCAGCTAAGCTAAATCACTTTTATATAATTGCTTTTTGAACATAATGAAGGAGCAGAATGGTCTGAAACTTGGTCATAACAGTGTTCTGAAGCAAGGGGACAGGATTTCAGGGTGCCCCTGTCTGTGGAGTGCTATGTGTGCATTTTCAGAAAAGGGTGTTACTCTGTAACGGTTCTCAATGTTGCATTTGTTGCATGATCAAGGCTGCGCTTTCCCCTCACCCATTCTTTTTTGAGACAAGCTCTTTCTCTGCTGCCCAAGCTGGCATGGACCTCACATCCTCCTGACTCAGCCTTTTTAGGTGCCAGAGTTTACAAACCTGTGCTGCCTCACCCAACAAGGCCTTTCATTAGGAATTGGTTTCTTCCCGAGATTTTAGGTGGTGATCATGCGTAGGACTTCGAACCACTTAGAACTGTAAGAGTGTCTTAAACATCAAACGGACAGACCCTTTAAGGAGGCAGATTCTTCTGTGAAAGAAGACTGGCTTGGCAACCATGTGACCACATTGCTGGTTGCTTTATCGGGAGCCTTTCCGAAAAACTGCTGTCTGAACTCCTTAAAAACAAAATAAAACCAAAACCTTTTGCTAATAGTGTGCTCCAAGCAGGTTCGTGTATTGCTGTCTGTTGTGCCAATGGTTGAAAATTATTTTCAGTTAAGAATGACAGTTTAGTAAGGTAAGGGATTTAGTATTTCCTATAAGACTCGTGAATGATGACAACTATGGTTTTTTGCATAGTTTTGAAATACTGTGTGTCACTACCCACATTGGCAAGGGAATCTCAGTCTCTAGGCGTTCATGACTGTGGCACTGAAGGAACTAGGAGGAGGTTTTGAAGAGCACAGCACGTGTGACAGATGTGTAAGGATTTGATTGTTTATAATAACATCCATACAGCTTCTGTCAGGTAGTGGAGTGTTTAGACCCTTTGTTGAAATAAAGCATTACATATGAGCCCAGTTTATATAGGAAATAAATTCAGCTAGTTGATGAAACAGAAATTGGAGTCCTTCTCCACCCTCAGCTCAATAGGCAACTGGGAAATCAGCAGATAGAAACAATCAGCTGTAAGTTGGTAGGAAAGTTCTGGAGTCTTTTAAATCTTTATGGAGTTTTTTTTTGATGTTGTTGTTTTTTTTTCTTCTGTAAAATGCTTTTAAATAGCTAATTTAGACTTGAGAAAATGAATGGATTATTTTCAGAACTGCCTCAAGTTGCGTGTTTAAATGGGAAGATGCAGGTATTCCCCTTTTTATATGCTCAGCCTCATCTTTACTTCAACATGCCTCCACCCCTGGTGGAGCGCTAATCTTCAGGTGGGTGGATGGCATACAGGGCCTGTGGTGGTGTGGGTCTTACTGAAGGGTAGCTTCAATAAGATGCAGCGTGTTAGGCAATGTGCTGATTCTTGGGTGTGAAGAGAGCTGAAGCCCTGGTGTAGGCACTGTCATTTGGACTGTGCAGTGGCTCCTGCATGTCCTAGGTTACAGGAGC